CGTCAAAATCATTCGCTTTTTTAATGCACCGATAGTCAACAGCAATACACCTCAAATAACAAATATATTGACAACGTGAACAGTAGAGTAGAATTGAGAGCAGCTGCAATGATTAAATAGAGTATGCACATATGAATGTACGTTGCATAAACCAGTGAACCAAAGTGAAGGCTATAAGCATTGCAAAGCATTAGACTATATCGATGGCTGAGTGGAAGATCGACCTATCTCGGCAGCCAGTTCGAAAACGCTCTATCTCAAAAAACTTTTCAAGAACGCCCTATTTCAGAATTCGTTTCAAAAACGCGCTATCTCAGCTGCCGATTCAAAAACGCCCTACATCAGCATATTTTCAATACATTTTGAAGTGAGATAGGGCGTTTTTGAACCGAATTTTAAAATAGGGTGTTTTTCAATTAAACTCTGAAATAGGGCGTTCTTGAAAAGTTTTTTGAGATAGAGCGTTTTCGAACTGGCTGCCGAGATAGGTCGAACTTCCACTCAGCCATCGATATATACTATACTTTCTATGTATAGAATGAGGAAAGAAAATATTCGCATATTTCGTTTTTGAATATAAAAAATTATCGTAAATATTATCGTTGTACGATAGCAAAATAGTTGACCAGTCAGTTTATTTTTGATTTTAGGGAACGAAAATATGGAGTCGGGTGCCGAATATGTAGTAGTAGGCATCAGTTCAAAGTTTTCACTGATAAAATAGACGATGTTCCAGCAGATCTGTCAGAGATCGCATTGTCATGATGACGTATGATTAGCTCTATCATTCACAAATGGCTCAGCATACTGTTTCCTGATGTCCAGTTTTTTCGAAAAAAAGGCGACCAAGAGATATTTTTGTGGTCTAATGTATATATATTATTTCTGTATTATTACCATTTTTTTGCTGAGACACAACTTTTTAGTGGCCTCCATACGACAAAACCTTCTAGTAAAAACAAAAATATTCTAATGTGTCAAAATCGTTGATGGTAAAGTTAGATTTTGCATTGCCAGTGTTTTCAAGTCGAAAAATTTACCAGACAAAGAATTCACCTTCGGTGGGTGAGACCAACTAACTCATATTAACATAATTGCCGAAATTGCCAGGAGGATGATGAGTTGGAATCACCTTAACACTTTTTCCGCGAGTTGTAATTGAAGTAAACTGGCTTTCATTTCTTAAAAAATTCCAAGCATATCTCTGATGTTGACATTAGTCATCTTCGTAATTTTGTGCGATTGGCTTTGTGCCATTCCATCAATTGATTGGTGTCCCACAAAACAAAACCTGTAACACTTGATATCTCATTTACCACCACACAACATGCTTACAAATATAATTTGAGGCTAAGCATGAATCTCTGAAAGATTCATAAGCTTGAAATTCTTTTTCTTTTCTACGGGTATGCTGAACTGGAAATATCACATTACTTGGCCTTCGATAAGAAATCGCATATCTACATACATGCGTGAAAAATCAAGCCCAGAGGAGGCTTAGCCTATTGTCTCCCTCTTTTACGAGGTTTTCACACCAGGAGAATATAAGTCGCCTTTAACTTCATCCGGCCATTCTACTCGTAGGTGCGCTTTCTTTCATCGTCTTTCCATGGATGCCTAGGTCTCTCGAAAGCACTATTTTTCTTCTTCATAGTGCCTCTTAAACCTTAATACTTACTTAATGGAATACATGTCACTTTACTTACTCGTAGTACAATAGACATTCTTGGCTATTCCTGGGTAATTGGAAAATATCATTTACTTTTATGAACTACTTAGTTTAAGAATTTATGGAGTTATCAACATTCAAAAAATATTTTTTTTTATTTCAAATCTTTATTTTTTATTGCTTGCTGGTTTTCTACTAATATACATATTGGAACAGTATAAATGACACTTATTTTTCTCAAGGCTATCGAATTCACTTCGCTGACTGTTTGCTGATTTTTGCATATTTGCCATGTCAGATATAAATGCCACATGGAGAGCAAATCCTTTTTATGTCGCGTACGCACATTCCTTATGGTAAACACACTTTTAGACATGTGTATGATATGGGCAAACATATGCATACATATACATACATTTGTGCATGTATATAATTTTGACAAAGTAACCCGTATGTATAACAAGAACTTTTTAAGCAAAGCAGCAAATTTTAAGCAAAAAACAAAACCGACTTCAATTCTCATATAAAAATTTAAGCAGACCATTAAATTCATTAAGAACCAATATTCGGATCGAAACCAAAATAAAATGGGACCACCGCTGAGGTACCACCTTTCCTTTAAAAAATTAATTAATTAATAATAATTTAATTATAGAAATAACTTAACGTGATGCAAAGTTATGGTAACATAGTACATAAAAAATAATAATTATATTGCGACGAATTGATAACCTCCTCCTTTTTTGTAGTCGGTTAAAAATGGATAGAGTGCGTTTATTTGCACAATATTTTGTTGAGTATGAATATCATTGTAACAGTAAAAAAGTTTATTTGTTTAGTTGAAATGAAGGCTAATCAAATATATTCAAAAATACATATTTACATATGTATGTGCATTTGACTGGATCACCAAAAAAATTGCGGTTTTTTGCCGGGATTACAAAACCTATTATATTTGAAGACTTCCACCAAAATATTTCGGAAAAAAATATTAAGATTTATGGGAGATGGGCCGCTTTGAATATACATACGTATCTCCAAAAATGGAGCGTTTTATGAATAAAAATAGTTTCTTAAAGGATTGTTTGTAAAAAAATCCCCCCAGATGACTAAAGAGTTTAAGCTTAAAAAAAATATGCATAAAAATAGTAAAAAACAAGTAAGAAAGTCTAAGTTCGGGCGGAGCCGAAAATTAAATACCCGGCGCAAGTATTAAATATATGTTTTCCACCTTTCCGAAAGCTACCGCTACACGATAAGCCGGGGTGTATCAATTTTGAGTAAATTAGCGTCCTTCAATTTCGAAATATTGAAGTTTCAAGCATTTCTGAAATTTACCGTTATATGAGAAGCGGCCGTTATTTTAGTCCGA